AAAAATATATATTTTTTAAATCTACATACTTTTTTAATTCGAACTTTCGAATAAATTTGCAGTCTCATCTAGGATAATTCAGCAGATTTGTCAAAAAATTTTATAACCAAATTTAAATTCACAAAGAGCGGGAAGCAGTTTAGAACAATTTTCATTAGAAATTTTTATAAATTTCGATTTCTATTTTTTTTTTTTATTAAATCGTTCAGATAGATAAATTTATTTATGTTTATTAAAATGGATGTAATCCGAAAATTTCTAGATAGACATCAAGGTTTGATAAAATTTTACTAGACGAGATTGAAAACTTTTGTGAAAATATTTTCAACGAAATTTTAATATCTATATAAAAGCTTTTATTAAATGTTCATACACATATGAAAATGATATAATTAGATTTTTTTTTAGGTGGGAAAAACACTATTAAGATAATTAGGAAAGCGAGTGAATAGAAATTTCAGTAATTTTTTGTTTTTTTTTTATTATTTAGGTATTAATAGTAGTTTTCGGCACTGACTATTGTATTAAAAGCTTCTATTTACATAATGTACTTAAATGTTATTTAATCCCACATAGTTTTAATTTGTATAACTTTATCTGCCTTTAATTAATTACACGCAATATTACAATTACAAAATATCTGCAATTAAAATATTTACCCCAAAATTCAATTTTTGCAATAACATTTTTTTTGAAAATTTTTTTTGTACAATATGAAAATACATGACAGGAGCAACCAAGTTTAAGTTCTTATAAAATCATTGTTCAGCTACAGTTGTTAAGGAAAATTTATTATTAAATAAAAGAATAGGCCCGTAAAATAAAACATTATATATTTCGATCCAAAGATCGAACTTGATTTATATTTGCAGCATATTTTTTTTTTTTTTGTTTCATATATAACTTTTGTTAGAGTCATTTAGGCCGATTATATTAGAAAAGTAAGTTTTGCCATTTTTTATGTATAGAATAAAATTGAATTATTTTACGTGTTGGAAAACATAAATTTTAATTAATATCTTGGAATATGTATGACAATTGATGAGAAAAGATATAATACGTCATAGTTAAATTGACTGTATGCATGAAAGAAAATTACTTTCTAGTGATTTTTTTAAAATGTAAGATATAATAAATAATTTACTAGACTAGGTTACGCGAATCTTCTCAATGCTGACCAATTAAGCGATGGTTGCCATTGTTCCCACTCGCCATTTGTCATAATTCTCGTCAACTACCGCACCCTGCTCTAGTGAAAATTTAGTAACTTTATAGTTAAAATTAAAAGTTACTATAAAGTTATTAAATTTTCACTACAGCAGAGTGCGGTAGTTGATGAGAATTCTGACAAATGGCAAGTGTGGACGCAATGGCAACAAGGGACAATTGTCCAAATGCGCAACTGGAAAAATGGCCCACCAGCAGTTTCCTAAAGGTGCATACACAGCGTTTTTTTCATGTCTATCGAAAAGTTATAAGGGTCTATATTTTTGATCGATGGAATTTTTTTTTCTGATAATTTAAAATCAGATTATAATATTTCTGAAAAATACAATGGTATGAAGTGTAAAAGTTGAATACATCATAATTATAATATATAATAAACTTAAAATTAATTTATTATTCATACCATTGTATTTTCCAGAACTGTTAAATATTTAATTTTATAAATTCTTCGACAAAAATCGCATCCATTTAAAATATAGACGTTCATTGTTTTTTTGACAGACAAAAAAAAGAAAGACAATTACTTTTCGGTTTGTCGGAAAATTGTTTCGTGTGTAAGCGCCTTAAATATGACACTATACAAATTTATCAAATTTTCATTTATCGTCGTTTCGTAACTTACGTCATTTTATTTTCTGTTGAATTATCAAAATTAAAGATGTAAAGAATGTATTGCGGAATAGATTTAACAATTTTTAGTTGATTTAGGCATTTGTCCAGTACCGCAGTTGAGAAGTCATCATTATAGATTCAGTTAAATTCATTTTCCCTAAATCGTCAAAAACATTCGGCCACTGCAATGGATTTTATTCGTAGAATAAACATTTTCCCATCAATTGTTAATATCCCAAGCTTCAATGGTTGATTTACATTGTCCCCACTCGCCAAAATCACTACTTGTCATAATTCTCGTCAACTACCGCACCCTGCTCTAGTGAAAATTTAGTAACTTTTACTTTCAACAATGAAGTCACTGCATTTTCACTAGAGCAGGGTGCGGTAGTTGACGATAATTATGCCAAATGGCCAGTGAAGATTTTGGCGAGTGGGGACAATGGAAACCAACCCAATTCAAGATTTTCAGATGGCACACGGAAAAAAAGAAAAAGTAACTTTTACTACTTTAAAAGTAAAATTGGACCTGTCCGAAGTTTCTGCGCATCTCTGGCAACTTTTACTCCAAAAATAGTAAAATTTACTTCAGAAATAGTAAAAATTACTACGGAAACAGTAAAATTTACTACAGAAATAGTCAATTTTACTATTTTTGGAGTAAAAGTTGCCAGAGATGCGCAGAAACTTCGGACAGGTCCAATTTTACTTTTAAAGTAGTAAAAGTTACTTTATTCGTTTTTCCATTTTTCTCCGTGCAGCCCCTTGTGTCACAAGATTTTCATCTAACTGTATATAAGCTGTCTTTCTACTTTGACGGCATTTTGGAAGTTCATGACTCTTCTATAATAATTTCATTAGTTCGTGGCGTATGGTATGGGTTTGTTTCCATTGTCCCCATTTGTCATAATTCTCGTCAACTACCGCACCCTGCTCTAGTAAAAATTTAGTAACTTTTAATTTTAACAATAAAGTCACTAAATTTTTACCAGAGCAGGGTGCGGTAGTTGACGAGAATTATGACAAATGGGTAGTAGGGATTTTGGCGATTGGGGACAATGAAAACCAACCTATATAAACTTTTTTGACAAAAAAAAAAAGTGTAAACTTTGAAGGCCTGAGCAGAATAGAAACGTAACCGGAATCGTAATCGCAAACGCAACCGGAATAATGAGTTAGGGAAGGATAGACATATTGTTTGTCCTTCTCTAACACATTATTCCGTTTGCGTTTATTTGATGCAGAGATGGGTACTGTAAAAACCAGGGTTTCGACATTGTAGCTACATCAATGGCAACATAACCTCTTTTTGTTATTTACTTTCTGGTTTATTGTTGGTAAATATTAATTAATAAATAAACTATTTAAATATTGGTCAATTGAGAACTTTCAGTTGAGTCATATAATATTATCTTAGCTTCCGTTCTCAATTTAGAAGAGAAATACTAATATAATTTAAATTTTGTCAAAGCATCGATAATTAATTTTTGCGATCTTTGGCAATATCAGAACTTTTGAAAATTGGAAATTCGAAACATGCAGATTTAGGGTTATGTTTCTCAAAATTAACCTTATGTATAATACACATGTAGAAAACTCATATATAATACGTGTATATTACACGTAAAATACCTTGTATTATACTCGAGGTTTTCTACATACCCATCTCTGGTTTAATGGTTACACCATTCGCCACGAACTAATAAAATCATTATAGAAGTGTTACAACTTTTCCAAAATGTCATCAAACCAGGACAGCCTATATGCAATTGGTTGTATCTTCAAAAAAGACTTATCTCATCATATTTTACAGATAATTCTTAAAAAAAAAACATGAAATCATAAATCACTTATTAATATATTAATATTTTAGTGCCAAAACGAAATTTATTATATATCAAATTTATGAACGTGTGCGTGCCTGTGTGTAAATGTGCGCAAACGTACTTCAAAATAACTTCTTTTTTTTTTTATTGAACTTCATTCTGATATTATTTGTCACTCGGATAACAAATTTTCGGCGACAATAATCCACGGATTCGAGATGGATTTCATTGATCTGCAAAAAGGGCCTCAGCCTAGGACTTAAGAGAGAGAAAGAGAGACAGACAGATAGAGAGAGAAAGAGAGAGAGCGTACACACTGGTCTTGTAAAAAACGCGATTTCTTATAGATCGGGATAAAATTTGTGCGTATAGTGACTCTTGATAGTAGAGATAAGGGATGAGGTGTAGAGGGACAGAGAAAGGGACAATTTATATATGCCTTGAACACGTAAAGAGGACCAATTCTTTGCCTGAATTCAATAAAATCCAAAAATTCTTTTTTTTTTTTTTATCTTTCTCTAACCGTTTGATCATTGTCGCTTCGCGATTTAATCAAATATTGTGCGTACAACTATATCTTGTTTTGTTTGTTGTTTTAGTAGGAAATCGGTGCCATAAGAAAAGATCATCAGAAAAGGACTCTTGTGTCTCTTATATTTATATATAATTATGTGATCTAAAATGATCAATTTGGCCAATTAAAATTATCCACCGCACATGATGGCCATTATATATAATATGTCTTTCGGCAAGAATGTTTACTACAAAATTTTTTTTTTTCTTTTAATTTCCCATTAATGTAATTTTTCAGTATTATTCCTTGAATTTTCTGTTATTTCCCTATATGCACTCTCATCGTTTTCATCTCTCACTGACATCATACTCGTTATTCTCATCTCGTATGCCTAGTATTTATGTATATAATGCCTAAACGAACACATATTATATCTCGATAATAGTATCGGTTCATCTATTCACATCTCGGCAGGGTTTCTCCGTAAAGTGTTTTCCACTCCGTATATCTCATTAGGTTCTTTCATTCACCCCCCCCTCCCCCTTCCCCCCCTACAATCACCCCTTTATGAGTACTGCTTAAACGAGCGTGACGTACTATCTACCTATGTTGCTCCAATTAATATCATCGTTACCGTAAATGACTTATGCGCGTACGCACGTACCGTAAGTAATGTATATAATAATTGTGTTGCTGTTATAACTTTACGTTAACGTTACTTTATCATTACGTTATTGTTATTATTATTTTCTTTACTCGTTAATTAATTATTATAATCATTATTCATTATTATTGTATTATTGTGATCATTGTTATTTGCGTTGGCTTTGCAACTCGCATCGTCACCATTCCTATTTATTTTGTTTATCTAATTTATTTTCAAGCACATTTCTTTCTCAATCATTCAGTCTGGCATACTTAAACCGTTAATTCACATTTTGTTAAAATTTACCCATTTTTTTTTTTGTTAAATATGGATTTCTTTTTTCCATTTCTTCATTATTATTTTTTTTTTTTTACAATTTACCTTTCCGTTAATTCCCTTAAAACGTAGAAATACAATCTCGCCTAGCTTTTTGTATTTTCCCGACTCAATTTGGATATTTCTATCCGAAAAGCCCTCCTGGACAGATGTTATTATAATTTTATAAAGGCTCTTTCAAAAGCACTTTTTTTTCCCTTTTGTCCAGGAGGATAAACTTGGCAGAGTCGGATCCTCTCGCAATCGAGGATTTAACGGGGTCTTATAATGACCTCGTTGTTTTATTGCACATACGCGCGTCATACGCTCTCACGCTAGTTATAAGGACCTTAAGACGGATTCCTCCAGGAGGTCGATCGATCGAGATCAAACCCAAAATGATGGCAGGAGGCACAAAAACGTTTCTTTCGTCGCTTTCGACGCCTCCGACGACGAGGCTGCCATCCAAATTCACAGTTTCTTCTGGGACAACGCTGGCACCTGGGTTTTCTTTGACGATTACTATTAATATTAATATTATTATTATTATTATTATTCGTCACTTGGTTTAACCTAAAACACAAATCACCGCTCTTCCACCTCCACGACCACCACCACCACCAGTATAACCAACGACGACACCAACACTTCATCATCATCATTCCATGGCGGAAAATTGCAAGATAAACACCCTTTGTGCCGTTTATTGCAAACTTTATTATTGGATGCGCGACACGATCTCTTGTTCTTAAGTGAATACAACGTCGAAAATGTCGATGATTAGTTGCCAAGGAAGTGGGTAAAGCTTTCACCAAGATTTCAAGCACTAGACACCAGGTGATGGTTGTTTGACTAGTGCAAATAGGGATGAAGACGCCCCACACCCAGAATAGATAGAGAATAGGTATTGATGGGGATGCTGTGCTCGGGGATGAAGAACTGATCATGGTACCAACACCACCAGTTCCACAGAAGGATTGAGGCTGCTGCGACTGTGATTGAGGCTGTTGCTGTTGGTCCAATGGAGAAGATGAAGAGCCTACCACGTTTAATTCAATCTGCTTTTGATGTTGACCTGAAAAAAAAGTACAATTTTTTCTACAATGAAAATTTGTTTAATCAAAATATATATGCGATAAATAGTATATGCGATGTATTGGGATGTCCGTTACTGTGAAGCACTCTCTGTTGGAAAAATTTTTAACCCTTGAAAGTAGGATGTTTGTCAATTTTTGTCCAGTTTAAACCAATCAGAGTAACTTTCAGACATAGTGGTGAAAAATGGTACTACTGAACGTAGGATAAAATGCTAAGCCACGCCCCCAGCGGACATCCCAATACTTGAATATTTTGTTCCACAGAAAATTATAAGGTATTAAAATAAGCTGCAACGCTTATTATTTTAATCCAATTTTGCTTATTTTTATACCAAAATGGATTAAAATAAGCAAAATTGGATAAAAATAATAAGCGTTGCAGCTTATTTTAATATTAAAATAAGCTGTAAACTGTAAACTTGATGGTATCATTTTGGAATGCAACGTTTTGATTCGATATAAGGTATCAAATTGATCCAAATATTTGGATCATTTTCAAGAAATGATCCAGAATATGGGATCATTTTTTGATACCTGAATTGGTATCAAAATATAACTGTCATGGCTGGCATGCTCTTATTGACAAGTTTATTAATTAATCTATTCACTGCACTGAATATTAAGATATTAAAAATACTTTTATTATGAATTTTAAGAAAGAGAGAAGCGAAAACTTATAAATTGCGAGCAATTAAATAAGAAAAAATTTATTTCGAAATAAAATGAAATACACTAACCTTTATTTATGTTTATCACATAAGATTTAAGTTAAGTTCACAATTACAACACTTGAAAATTTTTAATTATTTTTATGGTTCAAATAATTATCAATAATTTATTTATTATAAATGAACAAAATTTAAGCAAAGCACGCTTGATAAATATTTCTAATGCGTTGTCAATTAATGCAATTAATAATTTCCTATTACACAATATCATAATCGACATATATGACATTTGTAAACAAACAGGGTTGGGAAACAAGAGCCCAAAATATATTCGTCCAAAGCAGAGTTGGGTAGGATTGAAATTCGCTTTGGACGAATATATTTTGGACTCTTGTTTCCCAACCCTGTTTGTTTACAAATGTCACATATGTCGATTATGATATTGTGTAATAGGAAATTATTAATTGCATTAATTGACAACGTATTAGAAATATTTATCAAGCGTGCATTGCTTAAATTTTGTTCATTTATAATAAATAAATTATTGATAATTATTTGAACCATAAAAATAATTAAAAATTTTCAAGTGTTGTGATTGTGATCTTAACTTAAATCTTATGTGATAAATGAAGGGTAGAATGACAAAAGGGGTCAAGCGCCAATTCACTGTTTTTACAGGAAGTAAAAAAAACATTTTTAAAAATTTTGCAGGTCATTTAAAAAAAAAAACTGAGAAAACCGTTTCGATATATTAGTATGTTTTAATAAATAAACAACAATTTGTTGAAATATACCTACATATTAACGATAAAATTTAAAAAAACTGTGGTGTCTTGAGGTTATATCAACTGCGCACATTTTCTTTAAGCATTAATTATAAAAAAAAATATACAGTTTAAAGAAAAACTGGAAAATTAGTTTCTTTCTATGGAATCGACGAAATGAATAGAAAAAAAAATTCCTTTAAAAAATTGTTTGTTTTCAAGAAAATTACGAATTAATTGCTTGCTTTGGAATTGAGCAATACTTTCATCTTTAAATTCAATTGTTCACTTAGTATAATCATAAAAATATTTAAAAATTAATAACAAAATGATTTTAAAATTGTTTAAAATTGAAAATATATTATTATTATTATTAATTTTATTAATTAAAATAAAATTAAAATAAAATATTAAAATAAAACCTAAAAAAATAATATTTTTGATCAAAATTGAACACCACTTTCTTTTGTTTTTCAATCAGGTTGCAATAAAGTAAATTTGAGGCTATTTTATTAATTTAATTTTTATTAAAAACTGATTTAAATACACAATAAAAAAGGAAATCCTTCTACAGAAATGTGTAAATGAATTTTCTTGATTTTTTTATGCAAAAACCTCATTTTCGATAAATTGGCGCTTGACCCCTTTTGTCATTCTACCCTTCAAATATAAATAAAGGTTAGTGTATTTCATTTTATTTCGAAATAAATTTTTTCTTATTTAATTGCTCGCAATTTATAAGTTTTCGCTTCTCTCTTTCTTAAAATTCATAATAAAAGTATTTTTAATATCTGAATATTCAGTGCAGTGAATAAATTAATTAATAAACTTGTCAATAAGAGCATGCCAACCATGACAGTTATACTTTGATACCAATTCAGGTATCAAAAAATGATCCCATATTCTGGATCATTTCTTGAAAATGATCCAAATATTTGGATCAATTTGATACCTTATATCGAATCAAAACGTTGCATGAGTTGATCTTAATTCTTGTATCAATTTGATGCACACAAGAAAACTGTGATGCCTTTTAATTTTCTGTGCTCTTATGTGGTTGTAAAACAACGACTTTCCGCGATAATTCAAATTTAAGGAGATTAAACTTGTTTCACGTATCAAGAATAATGTATTAAGTCAAGTTTACGTTGAATATGCAACTATTTATATTTAACAAATCTTGATGTTAAAGTTTTTGTTGAAATAATGGAACTTATTTATCAAACATTAAAACCGATATTAATTATTTACAATGGGGTCGCTGATTACGAATATGATATTAGTTTTTCAAAATTCAAAATAGCGGGTCCAAAATCCTATCTCAAGCGATAATCAGTGTTCCATTGAATTTAAATGGTATCAAGGTCATATGTGCATCAGCTTTTATCATGTATTTAGTAAAAAATATCGAAAATCATAAAAATCCGTTTTAATTACATATTTTTATCCAAAAAAATAAATTTAACTATTGTTGTTAATCTCTTTAGCATCTATGTTTGACATTAAAGGGTCATACCACCACCAGTACCAAAATAGAACTAATTCCTATAATTTTTTATCCCTATGGAATAAATTGATCTAAACTTTTTGAGCTAAATATAACATACATATACTGTAGAATAATTTTTTTTTTACTTATTAGAACAAATTTATTTATTTACTTTCACACTATTAAAATATCATGGAAAAAGACGTGTTCTATGTACATTGATGACTATTGATAGAAGAATAATCCAAAACAAAAAAGCCATTTAGGTTCAATGAAATACTGGCTATCGCCCGAGATAGGATTTTGGACTTGCCATTTTGAATTTTGAAAAACTAATGTCATATTCGTAATCAGCGACCTCGACAACCCCCAAGTAATTAATTTAAGCCAGATTCATCGACTTTTAAAAATTTATTATCTTAAACTTTTAGAAAAAAATTATTTTTTTAAAAAAATATTAATTTTTAAACAATTTGTTTAAAAAATAAAATTTGTTTATAACTTTTAAACATGTTCTCCCTCATTTAGAAGCGCGAAAAAAATCATGAATATTGTTTAAGTCATAATAAATTGATGGTCAAATTTTTGAGATAGCATTATTTTTTGTTTTCGAGATATTAATTAATTAACTAACAAAAGTTAATAAAAAATGAAATATTTTACGAACAAATAAAATTAGAGTAATTTTAAAAACACCATTAGAATGCTTATCAAAATCCGCATCCAACGAGCCCTATACGAACTATTTCTAATAAACGGGTGTTAAATTAATAATAATTAATAAAATTTATTTAAATAATTAATAAGATTTGAAGAAATGAAGATAAATCGTCAATTCTTTTTTTATTTGGAAGATCATCTAATTCTGTATTAAATAAAACCAGTGTAAATAACATTTTTAACAAATCTATTATTAACAGATGATTATTGAAAATTGAGGTTTCAGCACCTTACGACACAAGTTGGAGGGGGCTGCCTACCTACTCGGCATGGTATTTTTCAGTCTTTTTCTAAATAACATTTTATAATTAATTTTTGATTCTTGGTAATACTTAATATTCTTTTTTTGACACAGAATTAGATGGTCTTCCAAATAAAAAAAGAATTGACGATTTATCTTCATTTCTTCAAATGTTATTAATTATTTAAATAAATTTTATTAATTATTATTAATTTAACACCCGTTTATTAGAAATAGTTCGTATAGGGCTCGTTGGATGCGGATTTTGATAAGCATTCTAATGGTGTTTTTCAAATTACTCTAATTTTATTTGTTCGTAAAATATTTCATTTTTTATTAACTTTTGTTAGTTAATTAATTAATATCTCGAAAACAAAAAATAATGCCATCTCAAAAATTTAACCATTGTTTTATTATTACTTAAACAATATTCATGATTTTTTTGGCGCTTCTAAATGAGGGAGAACATGTTTAAAAGTTATAAACAAATTTTATTTTTTAAACAAATTGCTTAAAAATTAATATTTTTTTTAAAAAATAATTTTTTTCTAAAAGTTTAAGATCTTCCGCTTAAAAAACATTTACAACATTTTTCTCTATTTTTAATTGGAAAAAAGTTATAAGTAAAGCAAAAAAATATTGCTCAAATTTGTTATTGTAAATATCTTGAAAAATATTAAAAATTTGAAATTAAAAATTTGTACACTTATTTAGCACCACTATTACTACAATTTACCGAATTTTGAGAAAAATCCGAGACATGACCCCGTATTCTCATATGAAATGCCTCATAAATATATGTCTGACCAATATTGACTTGTACTACTGAGAAATAAACCTATATTATAGAATGCGTAAGTAAAAACAATTTTTAAATGATTCTTTTGTCTATAAAACAATAATAATTGACATTCATCGTGAAATAAGTTCACTAATAATTTCATAGAATTTAATTCAAATTAAACAATAATAAAATTTTATTGAATCTTGAATATTAATTTAAATTTCTATAAAGTATTATTTTCTATCTAATGAAAAATGTTAAACTGTATACACTATTTAAAAAAAAAACCTATAACACAGAAAACCGATAAAT